GATTTACACTGGTAACTCGGGTGTGACGTAATTCCCAGGGAAGGGAAAAGAGTTCCAGCATCTGAATTTCTTTTTTTAGTTCTAGTTACCGATTATTTACAGCGGATACTACACAGAAAAAACAGTTATTTGATCTTAAATGTCAAACCACCTGTTCCAGTGTTGCGGTTGTTCTGTGATGTATTGTGTAAGACTCGGCTCCATGCTGAGAGAATTAGATAACACCAAAAAGGGATAAGAGGGAAGGAGAGCCCAACAGTGCCACATCCCCTCTGTAGCTATTCAATACAACAAGAGAAATAAATGACTATACCACCAAATAAAGGAGCTAGAGCCATGGGGATACAAGATATATGTGTTTATTAGAGAAGAAAATAGTCCTCTCTAAGCTGCTAATATAGAAAGTGGATCTACAGGGCTAGTGCAGTGGATATTAGATGTAACAAGCCAGAGTATATGAAACCAAATCTGTGTGACATATAGACTCTCTCATATCTTTTTAATGAGTTTTTAGGGAGCAAATTACTCCTTTAAATATCAATATTACCACCAGCTTTGCTTCTGTTGTTATAACTTTGTAAACTTTAAAGCAGAAGTTCATAAAAAGTCTTTCCCCCCCAATTTTATCCTGTGTGGTCATGATTGTAATTAAAGCAATGCATCCATTTGCACCGGTGGCCAAGGCTCCACTGTAATTGTGACTATAGCAAGCAGCCCCTGGTTGAGGTAATGACTTCACCTGAGGGGTCCTGGGTGGCAGCGAGGCAGAGGTAATTGTTCCGAACATCCCAGTGAGGAGCTCTCAGTGTGTGATCAGACACCCAGGGTGTCCACACCCCAGTGGGATGCAAAGATGAAGAGAGGGAAAGATCGACACCAAATTATTTCATACTGGGCTTTATCACGGAGCAGAAATCTATTAGGTTTGATCTGCTCAAACAGATGATCAAATGAGAATCTTTATTTGTGTAGACTGTTTTCATGTATCATCAGAAAAAACGTAAGTGACGAGTCAGCAGGGTGGCCAATATTTCTTATCGTTCAAACAAACATTTAAATTCCAAGTTACTGACACGGCATCACATAGTCTGTGTGAAAACAATGTCAAACTGATTATTTTAATTGTGGCTACAGTTAACACATGCCTGTGCTAGTTACATACTCACTATCCTCCTGTCAGATGGAGTCAGGGCGAGCCTTTAGCCCCACTAGCAAACAGCTACAACACACCCCCTCCTGTCAGTCAATGAAGAAAGGTCCCTTATGACCTAAATATCTACATGATTCTTAGCCGTCATATTTTCAAACCTCATGTGTTATCTGTAGGGAGAGGAAGGAGCCATACAGACCAGATCCTAGACTGTATAGGACGCTGTCTGCCTCCTAACTGGGTGAAGCCACTCCGAAAACAGCACCCTCTGGTGACAGGCTGCAGTATAGGTCATAAATCCCACCTCCGCCAGCGAAGCTTATGTAGCTGTGGACAAACTTTAGAAATCGATTACACAGAATATACATTTTTCTCCCCCTGCTTGCGATGTTGACATGTAGTTACTGTAAGACTGGTTTGTGCTCAAGTCCTCTTTTTTTGTACAGCTCAATTTTTAAAAGTTATTAGGGGGTTCATGTTATCTATGATTGACACTTGATGCAGCCTATGGACGTACAAAGATTGAGTGGCTGACCTGGGGGATGCGCTGTGTGAGCCAAGTGTCATTACCGCAACTCTTGGCGACTCTCCCGCCGAATGCGTACAATGCTACTGCACAAGTAGTGAAGTGCGTACCACGCTAATGCGCAATGTTTGTTTCAGGAAATTGAAAAAAAAAAAAACGCGGAATTACCAAGAGCTTTTCGGCTTCAAATCCGTAAAATGGCGGAAGGTGGAACCAAGTTGTCCATAGTATATACAGTCTATGGACCAGAACATTTTTTTGTACTGGGCTGTACACACGTTTGCTTCTGTTCTGAAACTGGCTCCTTTAAAATAGGACCCAATGGGAATGCTTTGGCTTTTGCAGTGAGCCTCCTGTGGACATTTGAGGAACTGCAGTATGTCTATAGGTAGAGTATAGAAATGTGAACATTTAGCATGTCTAGAAGTCGTATTTTGGACTGAATGGTGGCCTTTGAGGACGTTATAAAGCATAATAAGTACAAACTTATGTTCAAACATGTACAAACATGTACAAACTTATTAAACATGTACCAAATAGTGCATTTTGTGCTGCCACCAAGAAAATGACGAAAATTGTATGTTATTAGTTTGTCCATTCTTTGCTACAGTAAAGATCTGAGTTGAAGTTGAACAGTCTTACAAGTGTTTTTTTTTTTTTTTTTCTGTTTCTACCAAGTCTGTTCTGCTAATTATCGCTCCGTGGTACACACTGAACTTAAGTTGAAACATACAATCACATTCTGTGACTAACTGAGTCTGTGTTCCACTGAGTGGGAGGATAAATACAGGTGTATCTACCTGCTGTGACAAATGAGCCTGTAGGCATCTCTGCTCACAGCCCCATGGAGTGAATACATTCTGGTAACCCTCATTATTGACATACAGGAAAAGGGGAAAATTATCGCTATATCTGTATATACTGGTGGTTGAGGTTAAGAGGGAGCTCAGCGGTGAAAGATGGCTGACTGTTGTGAATGTGGGCGCAGACCTGGCAGTTAACCTTTAAACGGTCTAATTAAACTGCAGAGCCATTAGGAAATTGGTGATTAAATCAGAGCGGCTTCATGAGGGCAATGATAGATGTCTTTTTAACTGGTTAACTGCAAATCACATGGGGTCCTTTAATAGAAAGCTTTCAAAAATAGATTTCATCGTCTTTCCAGGAAAATTGTTACATTTGTGAGATAATTCACCTCCATAAACACATGAGAAGACAAAGAAAAAGTTACCGACCATCATATGAAACATGTTTTGTGATAAATTCAAGCTTAAAGATGGTATGATTAATATTCTGATATTAAAATGTATAAAAGGACAATGTGGAGAAGTTAGCAGTGTGAGAGCGTCACCATTTTTAAAACGGTAAAAAGAAAATCACCTTAATCTGTGGCTCCCCTCAGGTTTATGGAGCTTTCAAGTGAGTCTCAGTCCATTGTTAAGATGTCGGGGCCACACTTTTACTGTATTGGTTCATTCTCACTGCTCACATAATGTCATTATTTGCCACAGCGGGCAGAAGTTTCCAGCACAAAGCTCTTTGACACCATTCAGACTCTCACCGAAATGTTAGTGATTTCCCTCGATTGTTGGTTTGAATAACAAAATAAAATGCAGCATTTAAGAGACAACAATCATGAGAGTAACACAAAAGATCAGAAATTGTAAAAACACCCCCCCCCCCACCTTTCCTTTTTACCCCACAAAGAACAAGCAGATAACAAATTATAGATGTGCTTAAATAGCATGAGGTAAAAAACATGAAGCCGAAAAAAACAAAAAAACAAAAAAACAAAACAACCAAGCCAGATGATCAGGTTCCTTCAACATACAGAGCTTGTAATCACCAGAAATTCAAAATTCAACAATGAAAGTCAACAAGGCCATCCTTGGGTTTGCTTTGAAAAACTGAAATTAAGAGGAAAAGAGACATTCTCTTTATTTCAGTGTACTGCATCTACAAACGCTTGAAACTACAAGCCTCTCTCCTCTCTGAAAAAAAAATCAGTGATCAGTGTCTCCTCATTTTAAAAAGTATATTGAGCATGTATTCAGCACTCCCTGGTGTGTGTAAACATAAGAAAATAATCCCTTTTATGTTGCTACAACTTCTAAATCAGCCAAACGTCGCTCACAGCCATCAAATCCTGGCTTCAGTGACTTCAAGTGTTGTGAGAATAATTAGCACAAAATAGTCTTTTTAGGAGTGTGCCATGAGAGGAAGACAGGCTGTCATTAAAGTGTTGGAGAAGTGTTGATTCAGCCTCTAACATTGCTCCCTGATGGTTGACAGAGAGTAAGGACAAGAATAGACTGGAGTAAACCAAAGCCCTCCTCTGTGCATATCTCTATTAATATGTGAAAAACACAACTAACTCTTTGAAAAACTTAAAAAAAAAAAAACAACAGCAACTAAGTAGGGGCTAAAATAATAAATAGCACTATTATTTTGGTTGAAAATTTCACAAACACACCCTGGTTTATCAACCAAGTCAGTAATGACAGCATGCAAATAACTAGACATGAACACCTGTCACTCAAAGTAAGCCACACCCCTTTAGGGCCTAACATTACACTTAAAATAAACATCAAATAAACTTAATTTACATATTTTTTTATTTATTTATTTATTTAACATCTTTAATTCTGCTGTTAAATTGTACATTTTAATATGAGACCTAATGGGAATGACTCATTTTATAAACCAGCCCCCAGTGGCCACTCAGAGAACTACAGTCTCTGGTTTCATTTCTCAACCCTGGTCACTTCTGCTTGAGAATATTAGCCACAAAAACTAAAATCTATACCTCTTTTTTGTAACTTGTTCTCCCACACTGTCAGTTTTCTTGACATTAACTGAGATCTGGCTCTCATCCTGAAGTTGTGCTGATGCATTAAGATGTCTTATGATGTTCTCACCGTCTCCCAAACAAACAATTATAGCTGTAATTTCTGCATTGTGCTGGCTTTGTTTAGTATCAGGCAGCAGTGCAGCATGCTGGAAGCCACCCATGTTGCTGCTCATGAATGTTAATGATGAAATCATCTTTCACTGGCAGACACCCTTAATGCCAGCCAATGTAACAGAGCGTGTTCTTAAAGCATGTCTGTCGCCACAAGGCTCCTTGGCCACCTGCTTTGACTAAAACATCATAACAACATGAAAATCACTGATTAACAGCCTTATATTTAATATAAAGTGAGTTAAACCACCTGCTAATGATGTCAAAACCTGACTCAGAGAAACAGGGGAAGAAACCAAACATTTTGTGCCCTCTCGTACAGATATAACACTTCCTCAATGATCTCTTGGTGGCTGATCCACTGACATTTAAGTTGACATTTGACATACTGGGACTCTTGTTGCCTGTAATCCAATGGAAAGAAACAACCAGAGTTCAAAAGTACAGAGTGTACAGTCGTTTTTTACAACTGTACTTCTCACAAAATGAGCACATCTTTCTACATGTGAATAATTGTTGACAAATTAAATGGAAACGCCTGTATTTTCAATATTCATGTGTAATGTGGAAAACAAAATGAGTTTATTATATCATCTTGTAACATTAAAGGGATATTCCGGCGTAAAAATAAGTTTCATTAATTTATCATTCCCTTGAAGTAATAATCATCATATTAATCATTTTGTACCGCAGACACAGTAGTTCTTCAGCCCTAGCATCTCCGTCTGATTGCATTTCCATGAGGAAATGATCATAAATGTTATTCCTTGAGCTCCCTACAAACAAGCGGCTGCTGGAAGAGGGACGGTGAGTTTAGTGAGTTGTCCCTTGCTAAGAGACATAAGAGTCCATAAGAGTCACTTAACGTACTGCTCTTAGGTTAGACTTGATGGTCCTGAATAAAAACAAACACAGTATTATGGAACTCTTTCCCACATCACAACAACACTATTCAAATTGGTATTGGTCTTGATAGGTGTGTTCTTATTCAGGTTGCCTCTTATTTGTTCTTCTGTTCCAGAGGAGACATTACTACAGGCAGACACAAAATGTGAACAGTGATTACTCTTGTGTTTACCAGTTAGCATTAGCCTGATCCAAACATAACCTTTCAGCTCTCCAATTAGCAGCCTATCACTGCCATTTAAAAAGCATTTCAAAGCTGGGTGGAATTCTCTCAGCCTTCCAAAGTCTCAGCATGCTCAGTGGCACAACGCTACTCCAGACAAAAACAGCAGTTAATAACGCAGCAATGTCCCAGACAGTTTACCGACAATATCTGTAGTGTTGTCTTGGAGACAGCTCCCCATTGGATTCATGTCCCTTGAGTCAAGAGAGTTGGTGTTGGGATTAAACCACCATGGGAAATGAAACACTCTAAGGCAGGGGTGTCAAAGTCAAATGGACGGAGGGCCAAATAAAAAATTTAGCTACAAGCCGAGGGCCGGACTGATCGAATGTTCATTGAAAATTTTTTAAATGACGCATATAGTCTAGTGTACCTAATTGAACCTACTGAAAACCTAACAAATATATTCCAATATGATCAGATAAATAAAGCAATATTTTCTTATGGCTCTGTCAGTAATCTTTAATTTTCAACAGACACAAAAGACAAATTTCCTTTATATAAAAATCCCCATAACATGAACATTAAATGAAAGAAACCGGTATTATTCAAGGCACCATGAGTAGCCTATATTTTCTATTTTAGCAAAAGTGGGCTAAATTTACTTCAAAGAAAAAAATAATAATAGCAATTTTCTATCATCCACTCAACTGAAATATTTTTAAAATATAATTGGATTGAAATACAATAAAATAAAGTGCAAAAATCTATTAATCAAAAGCAACACTTTCTTCAAGGAGAAGTAACATGCAGTGAAAACAAATATTAAACTTTAACTTTTAAACTTGAAATGAATAAAAATTCTAAATATGTGATTGCACAGTAATGTTCACTTATTTGAGGTTGAGGGTCCATATGTCCATATTCTTGTTTTTGTCCGCGTGTTTCGTTTCATAATGTCGTCTCAGATTATACTCTTTCAGTACCGCCACACTTTCTCCACACAGAAGACACACAGGTTTTCCAGCTACCTCCGTGAACATATACTCCGACTCCCACCTTGTTTGAAACCCCCGGTTCTCAGTGTCCACCTTCCGTTTTGCCATTTTTGATGGGTATCTGAAAGTTAATTTTACTGTTATGCTGACGACTGCTGTGCTAATAAATATTGAAATGAAGCAGCCTACTGCTCGGTGCGTCACCGTTGCATTGTGGGAAATGTAGTATTGGTGCGTGTAAAAGATCTGCGGGCTACCGGCTTGCTGCGGTCTGCGGGCCGGTTCTAATAATAGATCAAGATCATCCCAGGGGCCGTAAAAAACCTTCTCGCGGGCCGGATGTGGCCCGCGGGCCTTGACTCTGACATATGTGCTCTAAGGGGCAAACATGACACAATTTAGTATACTCAAACAGTAGCCATTGTTTTTTAATGGTGTTAAATGCTGCTATGCTGCTGTGAACCATGTCATAAAATAGGGATAATACAAAGTGAGTGAGTGAGTGAGTGAGTGAGTGAGTGAGTGGTTTTACTGATTAGAAACCCTGAAACAAGAGCTCTCTACTTGCTTCATAACTGTCATTTTTCTTTTGTCTTGCCTCGTCTGTTTTCTTCCATTTGGTTGATGTCTTTGTCCTTCAGGTCCTTGTCAATATTGCATCATGTCAAGGGGGTTTTAAATGCGCTGTTGTATGTGGAAGATAGTTAGAGATGCCAAGACCTGCTTTACGTTGCTTCTGATTGGTCTATATTGCACGATGCCTTCCTTGGTTGGTTAGATTTAGGCACAAAGGACTGATAGATTGGTCTGGGATTGGTTATCACGGTCAAGTGTGGCGTGTGGTGTGAGAATGGGTCAAATTGAGTGACTGTCACACTTAAAGCGTGACGCTTGGCAGCTCTGAGCTGTTGTCCAGCCTTGGCTAAGGAGTATCTGAATATTATTTGACTTGTGATATTGATAGATTTCTTTCCAGGTTTTTATGATTTTTCGTCCTCTCAGTTGCTGATGAATCCAAAAGTAGTTAAATTGATTTGTTTGAAACACTGTAATCTGCATTACTCAAAACTTAAGACACAGTGGTACTAGCTTTGGCTTCCTACCCAGAACAGGTTATCAGGAGTAAATTGGTGTGTGATTGTGAATATGTTCTAAAGAAGTATTTGACAATAGGTCGGTATATGAATACTTAAGTCATTATTAAGTGCCAAATGCAACAGAAAGCCTCTGTGCAGATGGTGTGATTGTCTCTCTGTGCCCCAGGCAACATTTGTTCTGTTAAATAATTGTATTTTGGTCCAAACAGCAGCCAAACCCCCACCTCTATGCATATGTGCCTCATATTCATTCAATTAAATTCATATGAGTCTGTTCAGCCGGTTCCCGCTCACTGTTCAGCCGGCTGCCCTTCTGTTGTTTAATCCCCATTATTGAAAGTCTTCCAAAATGCTTCTGGTTTTGGCTTTATGAAGAAAGACAGCATTTGACACAATGCTTTAAAATGTAACACACTGCTCTTATGGGTGACTGAGAGTGATTTTTTTAACGGAGATGATTTCTAATTAAAAGAAGATGGAGTGGAGAGGAGTGATGACTTTGACTGCATACTTACTCAGGGATGTAGTTCAAACCATCTGGTGTCCTAATTTACTACAAAAACAAGACTGCTGACATTCCCTAATGTGGTGTAATATCATTTATTTAATCAATCAAGAAAAGTATTTATTACTAATCGGTTATCTATTGGGTTGGGCAGTATTAATTAAGAAAATTTCCCCATTGGCTATAAATCCATTAAAGAGCATAAACTCAATGTAGTGGCAGATTCCTCTATAACAGTCTTTAAAGCCACTTGGATGAATTATAAATTATTTAAATTGTAGATTCTCAGTGAAGGCATCAAAACTATGAATGAACACATGTGGAAACATGTGCTTAAGAAAAGTGTGAAAAAACTGAAAACATGTATTATATTTTAGATTCCTAAAAGTAGCCACCCTTTGCTTTTTTGATAGCGCTGCAAACTTTTGCTGTTCTCTCTATGAGCTTCATGAGGTAGTCACCTGAAATGGTTTTTACTTCACAGGTGTGCCTTGTCAGGGTCAGTCACTTAGTACTTCTTTCGTCAAGAGCACAGGGTGGCTATTTTAAAGAAACTAGAATATGAAACATGTTTTCAGTTATTTCACACTTTTTTTATAAGTACAAAATTCCACATGTGTTCATTCATAGTTTTGATACCTTCAGTGATAATCTACAATGTAAATAGTCATATAAAAAATAAAGAAAAGACATTGAATGAGAAGGTGTGTCCAAACTTTTGACCCGTACTGTATGTAATTCACATTCTATGAAAACCAGTTCACATACAGGGTCAGAGAAGCTAACGGTCTTGAAAACAAGGCTTTAACAACACGATTCAATAACTTATGGGACAAAAAGGCATGTTAGCAAGTGTATATGATAATTATTATCTTACTTAAACTTGGCGGTCTTGTGTTTGGTCCTTTATGTGGTGTTCAGTTTAGATAAGTCAATAAAATTGAGCATTTCTACAACAAAGCGAAAACAACAACTTATGGCGCCCATTCGGACGTTGCCTAGCAACAGCGTTCCGTTAATTTACCACTTGAACGCCAAGCCTTTCATTTACTCAGCTTTACCACGGCTTTGTTTTCCCCTTTAAAACAGCAGTAGTGGATTTACCTTTGAGCAACAGTTGACTTTATTCTCAAGGTTAAATTTTTGACTTTCCTCCAAATTTTGTTTTTATTCACAAGGTTGTATTTTGACATTTGTCCGTGAAATTTTAACTTCTTTCTTGAGAGGCATTTAAAGTAACCATCCTTATTAATTTTGTTTTGTTTTTTATTTTTTAAAGGCCTACTCCCTTCATCCTCAGCTCTAATACTATTCTGTAGTTTATGGTCAAGTAGCTGTAATAGGTTATGAACATAGACTTGAAGAAAAGAAAAACACCAGAGTAAGATTTGCAGCAGCAACAAAATCTAGGGTCACTGTGCTTTTCTTTCTTTCTTTTTTCTAATTGGAGACATAATAGCCTACTTCATACATCTGGTTCTGTGTTATCTGTGGTCCTCCGTGCTCTTCGGGCACTCAGGGAGGAGCAAGACCTGTTGGGGGCTGGGAGAAACGGAGTCATAAAAGCAGCATGTGTTGGACAGGAGGCGGGGACACACGGGGAACTCTCGAGATGCTTGTTGAAAGAAAAAAAAAGAAAGTAATCTGTGAGTGCCACTATGAGACAGTTCACACTATCAACCTGATGCGCATTGCTATTGGACATATCGAGGGTTGGACTTCAGCTCTCCGCAGCCTGTTATTCCCCATCCTCCGCGCGTCTGGCCAGTCCTTCCTCTTTACGCGCTAGTTATGGATCAGGACGCAGCGCGCCTTCCTGCTGTCTCCCACGGACAGCCTGCACTCCACGGCGCATAAATAAACAGGTGCACCAATGAACCGCCGCCCTCCTGGCTCCTCCGGCGTGCAATGGCTTAACAGGAGAGACATGAGTGTCCGGACGGAGGACAGCATCACCTTGTGCCAAAGGGCTCTCCAGATCATCACGGAACTTTGTCTTACGGGACACGTAGACCGGGAGAAATGTGCGGATATATTTCCACTGGAGAGCTCCATACCAGGTAAAGGACACGCAGGTAAATAAAAAAAAAGTCATTTTCTTACCCAGTTTCACCTAAAAAATACTACTTTGGTTTCTTCCCCTGAAAGAAAAAGACGATGCAGTTGCAGCGTCTGTAAAAAGAAGCAACTAAACATGCGACTGTCCTTTCTGTAAACTTTAAATCACCACATAGTTTGGCATGTTTTATGTCTTCGAACTGTTGTGAACGTGTTCCTCTACCTGTTACGCATCTTGCTGCAGTTCAGCACAGACTGCTCAAGCAGCAACAGGTGGGAAATAGACTGAGGCTGCTTTCTGAGAGGGTATAAGATCATTCTGCATTTGTTCTCGTCCTCCTTTAGGTCCGTTATAACCTGGGAATATTTGATGTGTCAGTTTAATCCTGTGTTCCTGTAAACTTTTCACTGAATGCTTCACTTTCAGTAATCCAAGCGATATCATAAAGGCTACCACAGTAGAGGATTAGCGCCACATAAAGGAAGAGGAAAAAACAAGATTATTTTCGTAAAATCACCAGAATAAGGCTGGAATAATACAAGAATAAAGTCACAGGAAAATGAAGTCTTATACTGCAATATTGAAATCATAATACGAGAGTGATAGAGAAGAATAGAGTTGTAGCACTGTGACATAAAAGTTGTGATTTCAGAGGAGAGAAGTCATAATATTTCAGGAAAGGAAGTAGAACTTTGACTATTTTCTTTAATTCTCATAACATTATGACAATAGACGCATAATAAACAACTTTTTACCAGTAATAGGCTACAGCTTTAACGTCATAAAACCACGACTGTGTTTGCCATATGTTAAGGACTATATAACTTAAAGCTCCTGTGAGGAGTTTTTTGATGTTTGTGAAATTTTGTTGACCATGTTTATATTGCAATTATGAATACCTGAAACTGGTGCCAGGGAGCTGGTGTAAGCAGAAAAGCTGAAGAAAAAATATCACACTAAACGATACATTCCACCGTTGCAAGTCAACAAGATGAAATTTTTGTTGTCAGATGACGCTACTTTGGCTTTGTTGGGAACATAAGCAACAAAGACAGTTTTGACCACAGGGGGCGCCAAAACTAACATGATCCAACAGTTCCTCACGAAAGCTTTATGACAAATTTTTCATTTTATGACTTTTTTATTCTCCTTATTCTACATCTGTTTTTCTGTATAAGTTTTACTTAAATGTTTGTTATACTACAGCTTGACTTTATGACTTAACTCAGGTGATATGACTTTTTCTCGTCATATTAAAACTATTATTTTTTAAAACTACTATTTTTTTTCATAACATTACAACTTTATCTTAAAGGCTACTTTTTTTTTCCTAATGACTTTGTTCAAATATCATTTCAAGTTCAATACCTTTCCCCCCCCAATGTCATTACTTTAATCTTCTAAAGCTACAGTTAAATTTTTTAGGTCCTACTCTTATAATGTTTTGAATTTAATGTTATTAAACTGTGATTTTCCCTGAACCTGATTCTTAAAGGCCCTGCGAGGAACTTTCAGTCTGTGGCGCCCCCTATGGACAAAGAAACCTTTTTTTTTATTCCATCGCTTAAATGTCTAAATATTGTTCTCTGACAGAAAATAATAATCTTGTTGACTTTTGATGATGAAATGTATCATCAATTGTAAAATTTTATAGGATTATTTGTAAAAGTTGATCTGTTTCCTCAGCTGCTTGGCTGACACCTACCCCCTAGCACCTGTTTCAGACATGAAAAAATTATTGTATAAAAGTAATCACACTTGTTGCTGACAGTCTTGTTTGCTGTAGTATATGATAAAAAGGCATCAATGTGGATTTTAGTCAATTTCATAAACATTAAAAAATTTACCACAGGAACTTTAATATTAAGATAAGAGAAGAGAAGAACAACTTTATTAACCCCTGAAGGGAAATTAAAACCCAATTGTCATAATATTTTTATTATTATTTTATTTTAAGACTTTGATCTTGATATGTCAAGTTCCTTTTGTCTAAAATTGCTTTGTTTTAACAGAACAGAAACCAAATGATTGTTTTTCCTCCCTGGTTATGTAATTGTCTTGACACAGATGTTTTAAAGCCTCTGTGAGGAACCTTCAGTTTGTGTTGATTTTGGCACCCCCAATGGGTAAATCATTTGCTGGTATTTAAAAAATAAATAATTCCATGTAGTGTTTTCTGACATAAAATCCTCCCTTTTGTCTTTCTGTGTCACTTATTTGTGAACAAAGCTGTAGAAAATGGAAAATCACAGTTTCTTCAGATGACTGTGGTTTGTTTTGTCTGATATCTACCCCCTCACTGTGGTTAAAAAATAAAAAAATGACAGCACTGAAACATTAATTCTTGTTGCTGATGGTCTGATTTGCTTTCCTTGATCACACAGAGAAATCAATATAAATTTCAAACTCCTCACAGTGGCTTTAAATGACTTTTTTTCTGTCCTGCTTTATCAAACAGATGCATAAGCTGCGTCTTCTTTCTTACAGCTTGCCTTCTCTCCTCTTCTCTCTCTTCCCCTTGCATGTTTGTCTGTCATATTTTGTCCTTTTGCTTGCATCTCTTTTCTTTTCTCTGTGTCCTTGTCCTCCTCCTCCTCCTCCCCCACGGTTACATGTAGACCTCTCTATAAGTCTCCTAGCTGTGGTGGTGGGTTTCTGTGGCCTCGCCCTGTTGGTAGTCTCTCTCTTTGTCTTTTGGAAGCTGTGCTGGCCACTTTGGAGGAGCAAGACTCTCACAACCCACTCTGAAAATGGCCTTCGTGTGGGTTTCCCCGAGGTCCAGCAGCCAAACTCTGCTCTGGTTAACGAGTGTAAAGCATTGGAGGAGAAGAAGTACCCCCTGGAGGTGAAGATGAACGGACGGAGTACGGTAAAGCTCTTAGAGGCAGCCATGAAGATCAGCCAGACATCTCCAGACATCCCCGCTGAGGTCCAAACAGCCCTGAGGGAGAAGCTCAGCCAGCAGGCGAAGATCCAGAGGCAGACCACTGAGCCAACCTCCTCCTCCAGGTACCCTACATGAACCCTCTACAGTCACACCCCCCCCCTTTGGAGCGGACATCACACTGATCACACTCTATTTATAAAGCACATCCCTCGTGCTTACAATTACATCACAATGGTAGCATTTTGTACCCAGATTGGTTGATTTCCTCTCTCACACAATACTGACCCCCTGACTTTGAAAAAAACAGTCCTGGCAGATCGTGACAGCGTTGCCAACGTCCTTGAGGTGGTTTGGCACGTGTCACGCAAAGCATCACTGACCGGCTGATGCCCTTGAAACGCAGTCACACATGTTGAACAGAGTGTCACCTTCATTGTCTGGAAAAAAATCACTACCTAAAGGCTCCTCATCAAGGGCAGCCGTGCAGATCCTCGCCTCAGTATGAACCCTGCAATCTCCTGAACGTGTAAGTCAAACTGCTTTGGTAGCAAAGGGAAAGAAGCCCTTATAATTAACCACCCAGCTCTGGCCTCTCTTGGTTTTTCAGCACTGTGTTTAAACTACAACATCCATAATTAGCAGTGCTGAGGGGTGGGAGCTGTCATGGTGGACGGCTGCTTTCTGGGGAGACACACCAGGCAGCTGTGCTCACTTTCTCAGAGGAAGAGGTTATTGACAATTGCCTTGGTATGTCATCAAAGACTCGTTAATTAACTTATATGAGGACAAATGTCTTCATAAATAACACACCCACCAGGCATGCAGAAAGGCAAGGTCGAACACTACAACGCCCACTGTCTCAACCCACACACCTCCACTTTAGACAGTGATTTCTGATTTTAATGATCCCTGAATGACGAAGCTCCTAAAACACCAACACGTTATATTCTGTTTGGGGTTTTCAGGGCAGCACCTAGAAGTAGTGCTGAGGGACATGGCAAAGGATGCTATCACCCTATCAGCTGATATCGAAAACACAATAAGTCAATTAAATTTTTTAGTATAACTTATCAATACTGTTTGGCAATTACAGTGAGCAAGTCAAAATAAAAACGAGTAACGTAACTATCATTCGTGGAAAATGAAAATTTACTCAGCGTAGCACATTGCTCAAACATCTACAATACAGTTAGCATAACTCTGTAAAAACCCAGCGCTTAGTTCTTTAGCTTGATGCTAACACATTAAGTAAAACAGCATTTACAGGCTGACAGAATTAGCATCACAATTGTGGTGAAAATTAAGTAATTTATTTGTCCTCTGCTTTGAGCTAAAAGGCACTACATTGTATTCTGAGTCGCCATTTTTCGTATTACCTATTTAGCATATCCGTGCCTCAATCCCTGAAACCGATTGGCTGTTTTTTCCCCATTCGGTTATGGGGAAGAAAATGAGGGACTATTCCTTTAACTATAGTCATTAATATTTCTCCAACTGCTTAATGGAGTTCCTATGTAAGTGGTTGTATTTATTTTTTATTGTGCTCATAGCAACTAATAGTTTCAGCTTTTGTCGACAGCTGATAAACACCAGCTCTACTTTTTACGTACACAGCAGGGACAGCATGTTGAGGGATTTTGCCTTAATTGTTTGGGACAAAAACTGTTGTATTATATCGGTCATCTACTTACTCTTAAAGAGCTTAGCAATTAAATGGTAGAAACAGGGCCAACTTTTTATCAACCGAATGCTCAAATACTATTTGAAATGCTGAAATCAGGTTATAAAGTGGCATCAGCCTTGGGAAAATTGCAGAATATATGTTCAACAAACTTAGAGAAAGTTCTCTATGAACTGAGGTTACCTTAAACTTCGATAGTTCATGGTTGACATTCTCCAACACTGAGAGAGAACACAATAAAAGGGAGCATTATCTCTGGTGTTAATACGGGATTTAATATAATCCTTGATGGGTTCAGAGAGAGTTATGATATAGAATTTAATTTGAGGATTCAAGAAATAAGACAAAACACAAGTAAATCAAATTGATTTTATAGTCCAATTTGCCTCTTCCATCTACCATTTCCTCAAGCACTAAGACAACACCCAGCCTTTCAGATTGTTTACTGTTCTTGAGTGCATAAGTAATACATTTCCAGCCATTTCCTCTGGCATATCATTTGCGCCGTGGCTGTCAGATTGCTGTGATTGTCCTACTGTCAGCAAGGAGGAGGGCTAGTTGCTAGGAGACCAGATTGGCTTGGCGTTGGTTTTCTCAAAAGATGTCAACTTCACAGAAATTTGCAGCAGTCAGGTAATTTGTACCAGGGCTGTGCTGTTTACAATGGAAAAGGATTTTCATGTCTTGAAAACACACATTCACTAGCAACAAATAATGAGAAAAACACTGATGTTTATCCACTTATGTCTTTTATAGTCTCGTTGTTGTTCGGTTCTTCTTTTGGGGGTCAAAAACAGCGGTGTTCAGCTAGAATAAACAGTAAGGAAAAATGTCTTAGACATATGTTGTTGGATTGTCTACAAAATCAAAGTTTGATGGAAAGACTTCGAGCGTTCACTAAGCTAAAACAAACAAATGCATGTTTTTCATTGGCTCCATTCTTGTAGAGGTTTTTAGGTTTGAGTACGGACATGCAAGAAGCAAATCAAAAGATCTGATTTATGAAGTATCAATCAGTATTCATAAATGTCCTCCTGAGGTTTTCCTTTGAGAGAAGTTAAAGGCAATTCAGGCATTACCTTAAATTGATGAGGGGAATAAGTCCTTGGTTGTCAACAATATCAAGGTCTTTGGGTCTAGGTGTTAGGCACATTGAGACAGTTTATCAGATAATAAAGGATAATATTGTCAGTGTTGTACAAGTCCACACAAAGAGTGAGCTAGCTCAAAGTTCAGTTTACACCAACAAACTTTTTTTTTGTAATTAACATTTTTTTATTGTATTAATATGGCACTCAGGAAACCATATACATTCATAGTAGGCATACAACACATTTAACCCCCCCTCCACCCCCCACCCATAAACAAACAAAACAAAACAAAACAAAACAAAAAGTCACCCAACTTTACAAATGATTCTTGGCTGTACATAAGTGTAGTTCTCATATCACAGTAGCTAGGTATGCACAATGAGATAAAATGAAACAAGAACAAACAATAAAATAATAGGATATTAAAAATAAATTAAAAAATAAATAAATAAAAGAATGCATCTCTCTACTCATACATCTGATGTTTTGTCCTCCAAGAAAGATAGGTATTTCCCCCATTTTTTATAATAAACCTCAAGTCTACCAAATGACTTCCATGACAACCTTTCCAAGGCTGCCACTTTAGCCAGCTGAGCAGACCACTCCTGTGTTGAGGGCACCCCCTCAGTCTTCCATTCCCTGAGTAATATCTGTCTTCCTGTCATAATGCTGGTTTGGATCCAGCTTTTAATGTGCTTACTCCCCTCTGTTAGGACAGAGTCATCTCCCAAAACAAAAAGTCTGGGGCAGAATTGTATTGGAATCTCTGCTATCTCACTAATAAAGCTGTGAATCCATGACCAGAACTGCTGAACTTTATCACAGGACCAAAGTGTATGTAATAGATAGCCCTCTGCAGCTTTGCACCGCCAGCAGTTTGAGTTCTCAATCAGACCTAGTCTGAACAGTCTAGAGGGGGTCCAGTAAAAGCGGTGCAGGATTTTGAACTGCATCAAACGCACTCTTGCATCCCTAGACATAGTTTTTATGTTCTTACAGATCTTTAGCCACTCCTCCTCTTCTATTCTCAAACCAAGGTCTCTCTCCCATGTATTTTTAAGTGCTAGCAAGCCTCCATCCCCAGTTGTCTGATTCAGCATAGAATAATACATAGAGGCCTTGAATCCTTGCCTATAGTATCTCAGTATGTCCTCAAGTAGTCCAGCTGTCTTTGGAGCAGAATGAGCAAAAATGCTCATTAACATGTGGCGTAGCTGTAAGTACCTATAGAAATGTGACTTGGGGATCCCATATTGATGACTTAACTCATCAAATGATTTCAAAGTGTTGTTGGAGTATAAATCACCCAGAGTAGCAATACCCTTCTCCCTCCAATCCTTCCACCACACAGGGGATTTGTTAATACATAATTTGGGATTTAACCAGATACTAGAGTACACATTTAGAACCAACAAACTTAAATGGACTTGTTCATGTTCATAGTTTGTTTCCGTGTACTTTCTCTGATAGCAAAGCCTCCCAAGCATCAATCCTAAACCCTCAGTTATTAATCCAGTCATCCATGTTCAATATGGTTTACCAATTAAATGTAGTAAAATAAACATATAACTTTAATTTGTTGGCTGAATATCTGGAATATAAGCCCAATCACTGGGTTTGAAATGATAAAATAGTTCATGACAGGCACTGTAAGATTAGCCCCCAAAAAATCATTTATATGAGGGTTGTTTTGGGACTGACACTTTGTGGGACCTTGAGCCATTTTAAACCTTGGCGATAGTCCACTAGATGAATAAACTATATTGGGTGTTTTTTTCTTTAGGTTTTTGATCTGTGCTTCTTTGGAAAAGTCTAAAGACCAACCAAAGGCTTTTCTTCAAGCTGTATATCAAAACATGTTTCCCGAGTGTCACTAATGAAGAGTTAGTTCTTCCCTTAAAAGAGAGACATCGTCAGCCATAAGAACAGAGCTTATCATGAATATGGAGACATTTACCCAATGCCCTTTTCCCTTTTCAACAGGCACAACTCTTTCCGCCGCCACCTGCCTCGTCAGATGAATGTCACCAGCTTTGACTTCAACATGGATAAAGTGCCTCTTCGCCAGTCCTCCACGGTGAGCATCGGAAGAATCAAACCCGAGCTCTACAAGCAGAAATCTGTGGACTCAGAGGGTGAGGTCAAAGAGCCCAAAGAGACCTGTGGAAAGCTCAGCTTTTCCCTGCGATACGACTATGAGGAGCAGTCACTGGTGGTGAGAATCCTCAAGGCCTTGGACCTGCCTGCCAAAGACTTCACAGGCACCTCTGACCCATATGTGAAGATCTACCTTTTACCAGACAGGAAGAAGAAGTTCCAGACACGAGTCCACCGCAAGAATCTGAACCCAGTGTTCGACGAGACTTTCTGTTTCCCTGTGGTGTATGATGAGGTCTGCAACCGGAAGCTGCACTTCAGCGTCTATGACTTTGACCGCTTCACCAGCCACGATATGATTGGCGAGGTGGTTGTGGACAACCTCTTTGAACTCTCTGATCTTTCCAGGGAGGCTGTAGTGTGGAAGGATATTCATGCAGCAACTACAGTGAGTTGATTTTCAAATTTACTAAATGCCAAAGCTTCATATTTGTGGGTCAGAACCCTGTGATGTTATTCAGAAAAACCCACAATGAATAGGAAGTGTTTTAATAAGGTCTAAACATGAGGTATTGAACTGAACAACTCGTGGGAGCCTGAATGCATCAGCAATTTTCCACAATAGGGGGCAGGTGGAACAAATTGCATAATTATCAGACTATAAAGGCTTTGGGAAAGGCATTACATCAGCCTAACACCCACACATATTTTCCAGAAACTGCTCAAGCAAATATAGCCTTAGATAAATGATCTCTTTTTATTTTTGTTAGTAGCAATTTGTTCTCAGACCTCACTATTTGAACGCAAACAGGTTGTTGAGTGAGACTGTAGATTAGGTAACATGTCCTAATTTGAACCCTCTACTCTACAGAGATGTTATTTACCCCTGAATAAATTTCACTCCTCTATTACCAACTCTAACTGTGTCCTTTTTAAGAGCCTCTGCTTTATTTGTGAAGGCCTTTACTGTGATTAAAAGGTCCCAAATAATGAAAACACTTTTGTCCTTGTATATATTCATAAATTTAAGTCATCCTTCAGCCTAGCAACCCTGAGAATAAGGAAATGAAAAAGACTCTACATTCCTAATGATGCCAACCAACCCAGAAAACAGAGCTTCTGCAAGAGGAATTAAATTTTTTAACTTGATAATGCAACAAAGCGGGTAATTTGCATAAAAGGCCGCTCCCACTTCCATTTCACCCTATGCTGTTATCTTACTTTGTTGTTGCAACATGAAAACCGGACAAAAATCTTAATGGTCTGCTCCCTCCTGCTCTCAAGATACAAGACTTTTAAGAATATGAAAGGTGAGAATTAAATTGCAAAATTTTTTATTATCCTGTGCCCCAAATGATGAAATCAAATAGAGCATGATTTTAGTGAGCTTGGGGGGGTCGTGCCAATTGGAAACCTTTCATGGAGAGACGAGATCATTCTGCTTGGTTTCAGGGTTATTATCCCACTTACCATCTAACTACCACCTAGAAACATGCACAAGTTGGCATAAAATATTCATTTGAAGAGGATTTTAGTTCCTCCAATAAAATAACACTTCTGAGGATGGATTCTTCTCTGCCTCGATGTGGGAAAAATTAAGAGTTCAATTAAAACATTGGCCCAGTTAACAGGGTCCAAGTTAACCAAGCAGGAACCTCCAGTCAGAAGTGCTAAAAACCGCAGTTCCTCAAGTGTCCACTTGAGGCTGGCTCTGGAAGCAGTGGTAACCACATACACCTTCATTCAACGAGCCTTTTCTTTATAACAGAAATAAATATGTGAACAACCTGGTAAGGTAAACAAAAATGGTCTGCATGTCTTATTTTTCTGCCCACATGTTTTTGCAGTTAAAAATGAATGGGGGGGGGTAACTTGTCTAAATTAAGTATGTCACACTTTCCGGGATAACTGAAGTATATGATGGTTCCCACTGGTAGATAATCAAAATGTGATTGTGATTTAAAGTTAAATGTCAGTGTTACTTTTTTAAGCTCTTATACCCATCAACAGAGTTCCATGTGAGCCATTTCCAAGCTTTATGTAGTGTAGCATTAGGATGACACAAACTTCCTCACACCACAGGCCAAAGATAATCCTCAAAACTACCTCCTGTGCCGACACACCTGAGGGCAGCTCCTCTTAATGTACTTATACTGTTAAATGTGTTGGCTGGCTCACTTTGGTAGTTTGTGTGTATTGGAGACAGCTTTATGGCATATGCTGCTTTTCCACAAGTTTTTAGGTAGAAGTGTTTAATCTTAAAGCTCATATTTCAGGGAAGAGATGTTTCATATTTTTCTGCCTGAGCATAATCTGCCGCTCATAGACAGTTTTACAACAGATCAGAAGTTTTCTAAAGAACTTACAACTTAGGGTCTCCTACTTCAAGCAAGTGAGAGTACCCATGATATAGCATAACCTTTTAAAATCAAATATCAAAGATCCATGGCACAGCGTATTTATGATATACATATGGAAACAGGAACACATTGTAAGAAGGAGGGGGAATTGGACACAACTGCAGACCAAGAATGGGGTTGGTTCTAAAAGTTACCCTGGATGTACAGACTTCTTAAACACAGATGTATAAGCAAGAAACAAAACCACCACTGTAGAGCAGCTGACCCTAACCCAACTCTCAGAAAATCTGAAATAATTTCTTTAATGAAAGAACTAAGACTGCCAAGAATGCTTGGAAGTAAAACACAAAATGCTGGAGACACGAAAGGCCCAGTCTCTACTGCCTGATCTAAACCAAAGACAAACATTCTTTATACGAAGAATAAATGCTTTATGGAGACTTTGCCACAACTCCAAAGACCACAGAGATAGATCCTCTCACAATCTTTAAATAAGAGACAATGAGTCAGAACTCTGTACTGGGACTTATATCACCTTCCCACACCTGGTCTCACTCAAGCCAATCAGGCACTCATGCACCTGATTCTGTTCAGAGATGATACCCCCCCTTTCACACAAGGAAAGACCAAAGTGAACTGCCCATCACACACTTACTTTGGATGTGGATTAATGGAAAAAAAACTGTGGATTAATGGAAAATTTTCAAGTTTCCTGTTAAAATCATATTATTTCATGGCCACAACAGTCTTGAGGTGAATCTCCCATAATGTTACAACTGAAGTCCAAAGGTCATCTGTCATCTGTGCTCGTTTAGATCTGGCTAGTGGAGAATTTAAGCATTTGGGCGGTAGCATTGACCAAAGCTTTAGCCTTTTGTAGTGGTGGCTCCACAGCTCAGACACAAAATGACCAGCACTTCAGGCCTACAAAAGTAAAAATATTAATGAATGGCTGTCTACTCCTGTCCTGACCACACACCACATGTCATCTTGGACAATACTTCTAGAGGGTACACCACAGAGCTCAGACTGGATGCAATTGTGGATTGAATTTTACAGATGAAAACAAGAAAGATGACACAATTCACGTAGGTTGCTAATTCTGGATAATTCTCAAAATCTTGAGCTAGCTTTGATGACTGATGGACAGATCACACCATCAGCACCACCACCGATCACTTTTTCCGACATTTGGTTGAAAAAATATGGTCAGAAATTCAAAAATGACCTCCACATATTGACTGTCTGACCTTGTCTTCTAGGAGAGTGTGGACCTGGGAGAGATCATGTACTCGCTGTGCTACCTTCCCACAGCAGGGAGAATGACCCTAACAGTCATCAAATGCAGAAACCTCAAAGCCATGGACATCACAGGCGCCTCAGGTAACCAGACAGCAAATAAGATGTGGCTCACATCAAAACTGCAAGCTGAGCTATAAATCAAACTGAGCTGAAATGAGACAGCAGGTGGCCACTTAGAATGGAAATGGGGAGGAGACGCTGAGAGGCCAAAGCAAAGTACATGTAACCAAGCTCTTATGGAGACAGATAGGTTTCTTTGACATGTTTTATTGAAGGTAAGCTTGGATTATTAAATGACAGTGCACATGTTTCCCAGACCCTTATGTGAAGGTTTACCTGATTTGTGATGGACGGAGGTTGAAGAAGAGGAAAACAACCACCAAGAAAAGCACACTGAACCCTGTGTACAACGAGGCCATCATCTTTGACATTCCTCCAGAGAACGTGGAACAAGTCAGTCTCTCCATCATGGTGATGGATTATGATCGGTGAGCTTTTCGGAGTGTTATTGATGCTTTTGTATGGCTAAGACTCAGAAGTTTAACTTTTCTGCTTGGCTATGGTTTTTGTGTCAGTTTGAGACCAACAATAAGCCTCCCAATGTGTCTAAAAATGTGTCATTTATTTCTAACAGGGTTGGACACAATGAAGTGATTGGTGTGTGTCGCACCGGGCCGGATGCGGAGGGTCTCGGGCGAGATCATTGGAATGAAATGTTGGCTTATCCAAGAAAACCCATCACACACTGGCACGCTCTAGGAGAGGTGATAACAGTGTTTTACTTTCAGTCTCAAAGACCTCATAATTGCACGGATTTCATATAGCGCCCGATTGTGTCATTGACCCCATTTGTAATTTTCACATACGAGAAAGGTCTCTTTATTTTCTTTTAACAATATTTCCAAGTGTAACACAAATATATACTTGAGGAAAGACAAGGCCTTAATTTAGAGTTAAAAAGTAAAGGTTTCGGTGTCAACAACACGAGTTTCACTGTATGGGGAATCCTGGCTTCTGATTGGGCTCCTACAACTATAACAAAGATGGCGGTTTTCCACTGCACAGTGAGTTACCAACAGAAAGCACGCTATGGCCAAAAGTTATACATCAATCACCGTGAATACACTTAGTTTTTAAGGGATATGGCCCAGACAGTGTCTGAAAACACAAAGTTTATCACCGAAAGATGCTGGTCTCACAAAATGAGTGGATTTTATTGTAAGCTGAACACTGTCCATTCCATTTTAAGAGCTGATATTGTAAGCGCCACAATACTACATTGTATAAGACAGCTTCGCCATGACTAACTACTTCCCTGTTTCGTTGTCATGCAAACAACATTGAGTGGAAGGTGTTGATAAGGGAACTGTTGAGCTTACAAGCAAATAGTGCTAAGGCTCAAACTATCTGGAACTGGTACCAGTCTGAAATCGGTTTTCAATTTCCCATCCCTGCTAAAGACACACATCTCTTGTCATGACAAACAAATGAATCAAACATCATGAACTTCAGAAAATGTGTTTTGAGGGGGACACAGATAGCCAAAGGCAGAACAGTATGGTCTCATTGACTATATGTGTACACAAAAAAAGAGACGCTTTATTGAGCTGCAGTTTTCACAATCAAAAATCTAGAACAAGGAATATACCAGCTTAGCTGACCTCAACAGCTCAGCCGTTGCTGATAAGAAACCATGAATGGACAATTTAGTAGGGTTTTACAGTTTCTGGAAAGCTAACTGTCTCCCCCTTGCTTTTGTAATTTCATATTTTACATTTCATCAATGTTTCTTCCTCTTTTGCCATACCCACTCCCCATCTGACGAGTAGGAAATTACAGGTGATTACCCATTTTCAGTGGTAAAACTACAACGTACGCTTTGACAAAAACTGTGATCATAGGCACAAACCATGCCCCCTATCGCAACCGTCAAAACATTGTTTTGTAAGAAACTGCTACAGGGATCCAATTACAGACAACATGGAAAGTCTTCATTCACAAGTATCAGCTCTTTTTTAAGTTTATTCATAACTTTTTAACCAATTGGGGTAAACAAAGGGAAAGAGGTTGCTTTTGGAAAGGTTGGTTCGGGTGTCTGACAATGTTTTGATATTTTGTGAAGGTGAAAATTCCGTTAAGGATCAGTGCTTGTCCTGTCCTTACCTTTTCCCCCCTGAGCCGGAATCTGTTGAATTGTTCCTGAATCCAGGCTGACAACAGTCACTGTGCTGACAAGAATGAAAAATTAAATCCAGGCCAATTGATTTTGGATTCATACTATGTACATTATCACTGGATGGGGCGAGATTGGTCACCCAGGTAACAAGGAAAATGAAAGCTTGTCAGATGACCATCATAGAGACAGAGAATCTTGTTTTGGGGACAGTTCTCTATGCAACAACATTGAGATAACTGAATCAGTATTGCATCATTTGAGATTATTGTCAGTGTAGTGTTTGTGTTTTTTAGTAAAAGTTATTAATCATTTATTTATTCACCTAATTTCAGCCTTTTAGATCGCTGACAGAGTGGATTGATAGCCATGCAGTAATTTAAGTAGTTGATCAATAAACAAAAGTCTCATAGCCTTTGTTTTCAGCTCAAATCAATGATTACATCCATGCATTTTGGCATGGTGCTTTGATTTCTGATTTTAAAAATTTCTCAAAAGGAGTAAAACTTCTGTTTCCTCATCATAATGTCCTTTTTGTTTCTTTGACTTAAGGTTACAAAGAGCAGTTTTTTGTGGGAGACACAATTCTCAACTCTGGATATGGAATTATGGCATCAAACAAATTTGCATTGGAGTAAATGATGTGCAAATGCATGCCATAGTGTCCAAAAATATTTATAAGAAGAAGGAAAAACATCATAAACCACCATTACTATATATACACAGTATATACTGTAAAAATGGTAGTGTTTGCTACATCCTTTGGCTTACTCTTCATAAACCAATGTCTGTCCCAGCTGGGTCATACATCTCTTCTGCCTATGATCACAGTAATCCCTGAGGTACATGAAATAACCTGCTCAGTTAATGCAAAAACAATGCTTTTAAATTTGTCCCTTTTTTGTGATATTTTACTTTGCAGTGGCCAGGAAGAGCAGCAAGCTTTGAGAGTCAGGGTTCGTGTCCTTCGCCAAAACCTCCACAGACGCCCTAATGAACCCGGCAGAGATAAAACCATCTCTGTAAGAAACAAGACATCCATTTAAAGTCCCAGAAGCTGTGCTGCCTTCAAGTCTCCTTGTTAGCATGTTGTATTCAAACTCATTTCTTCTGTTCATGTATTCATGAAAACACTGAACTGAAAATGATTTTATTCATCCACCTGGGCTCCAGGTCTTCTGGCTGCAACACACTCAAACTAATTTAAGGGTTTATTTTTCATACATTTGCTTTGAAGCTCTCAGAGAGGCTGCATTATCAAACATTTACACAGGCCACATTCATTTACGGCCTAAATGAAAGCTGCATCAGCCTTCAAATATTTTGAGTGACACTTTCCAATACAGTGGATTTTAAGCACGGTCACATTGTGCATTGAAAAACCTCCTAAAACCTGGCATGAATTCACTGACATTACTAAAACACAGCCTCTAAATCAGATAACTTTTAACCAATTATCAACAAGAGCTGAATAATGTATCTGTAAAAATTACAAATGTGTTCAAAAAGTTACTAACCATCCACTGTTACCTGCAGACTTTAAAAAAACTGTAGCAGATTCATGTCACATAACACTAGCTGGTTAGTACGTTAATTAGCTGTTTTGCACTATTCAAGATGGAAGTAAGGTTTTTCTCTAGAATTATGGGTAAAATGAGATCTGAGCTACACACAGTTACAGCTACAGCAGTTGAATGCTAATGTTGGCGAACGGGTTTAAATATGACCAGATTTACCCTCAGTTTCACACCATCAACCCTGAATTTTTATAACCAACAACCTGGTAGCAGTACAGCGTTATTTAAGCCTTTGAGCCGCCCATCCTTAGCAAACTTGCTGAGTTAAACTGCGAAATTTGCCAAGAAAAAATGGAGTAACTTGACAGCCTCGGCATCATTGACTTGGCCTCTCCCAATCGGCCAAACTATGGTGGACAAGAGCTTTTCCTTGTGTTTACAAATTCAGGGAATTAAAATCCATAAAAGAACTTTTGAAAATGATGTTTACATTTTTTCCATTGTACCATCTGTAATTTATTTATGTTCATCTTAAACTGAATATTGACTCAGCTTCTACTTATATGTGAGTAATAAGACACTAATTAAAAAAAAAACATAGCAAATAGGAAATGGCTATGAACTGTTATCAAACTTGCACATAAATATGATTATGCTTTTCTCCTGTGCTGGCCTAAATATGTAAAAGAGATATTTTTACTTGTAGCATGTCTCCTGACACTTTAAAAAAAAATCTGTTGATGGATACTGTAAAAATATATTATGTTTAAGTATTTGAAACTTCGATTTTTCTGTTTACATTTGTAAATATACCTGTTAATGGCACTGTTTGTATATAGTCAAAAGTGAAATTCAAGAATCTGTGGTAAACTTCTGAAAATAAAGATGATGTCTTTCTATTGTTAAGTGATAATTTGATCAGCTCAGACTTGTAGTTTAGTCGGAATTGAAACATGTTCTGTAATAGTTGTGAACAAAACTGGAGACCCAGTGAAGCCAACTCTACCTTATCAAGCTAATCGATGTGTAGGAGTTTAGAGAGCTTTCAGCTGTAATTGTTTGCATATTGGTCAAATCTATTTTGAGCAAGAACAACTGCAACTACCGTCATGTGTACAGTTTGTGATAACTTTTGTAACGATTTAAAGTCAACATTTGGAATATGATTTATTGTATCTGTTTCATATGTATTTTAACAAAATAAAGAAACGGTTAAGAGTCAGCATGTGGTTCATTTTTCAGTAGAATTAGTCATGGCAAACATCTGTGTATCACGCTGAGTAAGATGATTCTTGAAATGGATGTATGGATCAAAACCTTGCCAAGTGGCCAGACCTTTTTATAAAGTCTTCTGACCAGCCAAAATGCTTTCATACATCACCATTTACACTACATTTACACACTGCTGGGAAAGATACTATATTAAGAACCCATCAATATCAACTACTCCAACCTGGGGGCAGTTGGGGCTCTAGTGTCTTCCTAAGGTTGCTTCAATAAGTGGACTGTGGGAGCTTGAAGTAGACGCCAACCCTCCAATTATAAGGTGACCCATGCTGCCACTAAGCAAAGGCCAATGTTTGTCTGTACAATTACTTCCAGAGATGCTTTGATATATGCCTATTGAGAAGTGGAACAGTGGACCAAAGGCAACCCCCAAAGCTGAATAATGAGGCCAATGCAGCATGCAAACAACTGCAGTTCCTCAAGGTCCACTTGCGGCCATCTCCAGGGGCTAAGGGATTCCCATCCCATTCCCATGTTAAAATGCACTTTTTAACACCCAGCCTATCTCGTATATTTTCTTCAGCTTGTCCTGAATCTAGTCATGGTGCATCAGTCTAACCATGTTGTTCCAGACATCCCACGCCCAAGCAGCGTTTTTCCGGCTGCCCCAGGGTTTGTCCCTAAACTGGGTGGAATCTATAATCCCTGCAGTGAGCGGATGGCCTCCTCTCAGTTTGATGCACCTGGAACATGATTCGATTAGCTAGAACTTCATGGATCCTTTTGGGGAGGTTTCCTCAAGGAAATTAAAATGTGCATCTGTTATGATTAAATCAAGGCAAAGAGTTAGAGATAAATCCACACAATGATCAGAGGTACAGCTGACAGGTGAGGGCGTTGTTACTACGAGGAGACCAAGCCTGCCTGAGCGCCACCTTTTCGTCTGTTTTTTGTTTGATCACACCAGCCAGACTAAAATTGCACTAAATCAATAAGCTTATACAGTCAGGCTGGTATGCCAAGGTAATGTTGAAGGGGATTGATTTCCTCAAGCTTGGATATGTTTTAATCTGATTAAATTTAGCCTAAACATTGTGTGCATGCTCCACAGTTTGCATGTCGAGCTTTGACGTGGTAGTTGAACACCATAAACTTAACTCTCCACAGGTTTCTTTTGAATAATGGACAAAAGTCAAACACTTACAATCAACACAATCAAAATAATGAATTGTACTGCATCTTTCTAAAGCAGTGCCTTTTGCTTGCAGCTTCTCGGCGTGCTGTCGGTGATTAGAAAACATTGTTGGTGCAGAACAAAAAGCGCTCCCAGCATTTTCTAATGGCATAAACACTCACTCTGAAGACACTCTGATTCCTTCACAAGGAACAGCATGAAGTGGAAAAAGTCGACAGAGAACATTTCTGTTGGATTTTTCCCTTCAAGCGTTTCATTTTTATAAGTGGAATAACAGTTAACTGAACTCGAAAAGGAGCTCTTTTTCTGCTGAACATTTATTTATCCCTACCCTGGATTGGCACTATGCCACCTTCTCCTCCCAATGTTTGTACTCAATCTAAATTAAATATGTGAGAGATATGTTAGAGATGTTAGATAACCAATCTATTGAACGATACAAGGCCCTGAGTTCGCTTTCAAGACCATTAAGACAAAATAAAAAGGCTTTTTAAAAGAAGGTTCCCTCAATTGCATCCTTTATTCGTTTGATGTTGAAAACATGAGCACATTTTGATCCCTGCAGCTCAACTTTCTTTTGATCCTCAATATTAGACAGACAGAAGAGAGACGTTGCATTAATTTTCTTTGGCAATGAAAGCTGCCCATTCACTAAAGACTAACCCCATATTAAGAGAGGAGTTGTTTCCTTAGCAAAGGCTAATGGCACCAGTGGTTGATGCATGTGATTAGAGCTTAGTCGTTTCCCAGATGCTCATTTTATCTGGGTATTTAAGACCCATGCACGGTGAAGACTTGGGAGGAGATAAACTCGTCTTGCCGTTGGTGCTGACATTGAATCTGCAGGATGATTTAAGCATTATACCAGTTTTACATAACACAGAGGAAAAAAGACTACGCAGCAGCAACAGAACTGCACACTATTGATAGTCATTCTCTGGAAGGTATGAAGAAAATGAATGCTTAAGATTTTAACACTTGGTTCAACCTTCTCACTGGTTTCTGATCAGCTAATTGAGTATCTACTGAAAGTACACTTGATTTTAAAAGGTCTAAAGAGCCTCCAAAGGGACTGAGTACCAAGATCTAAAATCTCAAGAGTAAGAAAGATACAGAGAAAAGAGAAGAGAGAGAAAAGAGTTTTCATTGTTTGTTTGCGCAACTTGTTAATCTCTTGCTAACATGTGCATTGATTGTTTTGGTATGTGACATAATAGGCCAGCTAGGGGGATACAAGGGAGCATGTCACCACCTTCAAGGGTGGGGGCAAACATACCTTATTCAGGAAGTCAGTTCTCCCCAAAGACAACGGTCCAATTAAATCATCTAATCGAACTATAATGGCAGATTGACTTCAATTTGAATGTACTCAATGGGAGCTTATCAATGCTACCTTCTTGACCATCTGTTAAATTCCTCTATTTGTGGCAGTTTTACTGAACATGTTGTGCAAAAGCTAATGTCAATGCTATAACTCAACAAGTGGATTACTATTTTCAGCATCAATCTACATTTATGCTTTGCTTTACAATGACTAAAGGCTGACTGAAAAGTACAAGCACTTTCTTCTAAGTGCTGATTCAAAATCTAACATAGCTGCCAAAATAAACACTGGTGAGAGGAAACTCTAATATGCGTACAGCCCAAGGGAAAACCAGGGCACAGCATAGATGTAGGTAAAACTGTTGCTTTGAAGCCGAAAAAAGATGCCAAGATTTTCCATTTAAATCTGTTTAATCATTGTGTTTCTCCTCGTTTGATATACATAGATTTAAAAGCTGCAAAAGCTATGCAGTCCTAGTCTTTGTTTGGGATAATGACAACCCAACAAGACCTTTAATCAGCCATAGCGATCCAATCAAAGACCCTAAATTAGATAAGCCTTATGAATCTTTGTGTCTTCATTTCATTTAATCTAAATAATATCCTGCACTCTGCAAATTAGATTTGTTCTTTTATTATTGAAGACCACACCTGGCATTTTGGATGCTTGTATTTACCTTATTTCCCAGACAGTGACACTCCACAGCTGCGAATATCAATGTGCACAGACAGGTGTGATTTATTAGAGCCTGAGATTGTCAGTGGTGAGATGGATACAAAGGGTCAGGGGTCAACTCATTAATGGGGAGGTAGCAGGCGTAGTTTCTATTCTCAGAACAATTACAGTTGAGGAGGTGAATGGAGAGACAGTTATGTAATGCCACCCTCCATTACGCCTTAACCACCAGTTTTATGGCCTTCAGAGCCACGATTAAAAACACCCATGGCTCTCAAGCAGATTTTACGCATCCGTTAGGAGTTGAATTATATTATTCAGAAGTAAAATTTTATGCTGTAGAAGATTTTAAGCAAATATGCAAATGATTCATGATTTAATAGTAGGCCAGTTTTGCTAACAGTTATGGGGGGAAAAAGTCATGTGCTAGTCTTATATCAGAGAGAGAAGGTATTTTGAGACAAATCCAGGTAGATAATCCTCATGGGGGGACCTCTTGTTATAATACTGGGTCTAGGACTAAGACTTGGCAATTCATAATAGCACCTTAAAACACAGTTATGGTGATGATTAAGTAACTTTAAGACATATTTCCCTCATTTGAAATATGTTGTCGGAACAAAACAACATATCCACCAACAATTAGACCAAAATGGAATAAAGTAGAGATGGACAGGTTGTGAAAATCAGAGCTGATATCAATGTTTAAAATAACAATAGTGGAAAATCTGTTTTCTCCTCTCAATATGCACCAAAAAATCCATATTAGATTTTCGGAGGGCTAATAAACATTGGCTTGTGATGAGTATAAACAACTTCCCATCCCCTGTTTCTGGTGATATTTGTACCATTGTCTGATAATTGTGTAGATACTGGAACAATTCAACAGCCTGACATTCATCATACCTGACTGAGCCTTTATTCTATAAATAACCCCTCATTTCTTATGATTTTTCTATCACATTCAAAGTTATCAACAGAAGCTACAAAAAAGGGGAAAATCAATCAATCATTTTCGTTGTATGTGTAAACCTACTCAGCAGTAAAACTAGATAGTGTTTCTGACGCTGTCTTCGAAATCAAAGACAAAAACTTCTTTTTTCATTTTGTTGGATCTCCGTCAAGTGATGTTTAGCTGTCATTCAATTTTCATCCTGAGAAGAACAAAGTTCAATGCTGCTCTTGCTCCTGCTGCATGTTATTCTTTCCCCTCAGTCGTCTTCTTTAATCTCCAGAATAAAACATCCTGCGCATCTTTTACCCTTTGAAGTGTTTAACACATCAAGAGAATAAAACTGAAGCCGCTGAGTGTCTTCTGCTGCTGTTACCATCACCAGCAGAGAGGAGATGAGACGTTGCGAAGTGAGCTTTCTGAGGCATTAGTCTAAGTTGAATCAGAGTGGGAACATATTGATGTAGGCAGCTATAAATAGATGTTTTATCCCGTGGGTAAGAGCAAAGGAATCCTCTCCCTCTTTGATTGATTTGTCTTGACAGAAAGTGTCCAACTCTTGAATAAACATGACATGGATTCATACCTAGACCAGCAAGGGAACTTTTGAACCTCAAAGTGTGAACGTTTTAATCGTGGCTTTCAGAATCACCTTAGTCCTCACTTCCTATATTTTAGGTTAAACAAATTTACTGAAAAGGACTTAAGGAGCTTTTTAATGTGGTTTGCGTATGTTGTGTTCTTTACACACCTTCTTTTTCTATATTATCAAATGTTGGATGCACCGAATCCTTCAGGATAATGAACCAACCCTCAAGGCTAATGCTATGGCTATAATTTTCAAAACAA